TCATTGACAAATATATAAACTAAATAAATGGAAGTTATTACATTTTGACAGTCATGTTGATTAAACAACGGGACTCAGGTTTGATTTTAGAACCGGGGAACAGTCTGTAAACTATCGCATCTTGATATATGCGCAAACATGCCAGTGTAGATATTTTTCTGAGAAAGTATGAGAAAGACATAATGAGTATTTGTGTTGATGTGCATTTGGTTCTTTTTATGGTTTGCTTCAAAATGAAACCATTAAAACTGGCAAATAAGAATATTAAGATTGTGATGAGCCTTTCAGAAACCATAGAGAAGGGAGCATATTTTAAATTAATAAAAACCTGTCTAGCACTTAGGCTGTACTAACAAAAAAAGATGCAGACTTTTTTTTTTACCAGGATGAGTTGATTTACAGAAAACATTAGGCGTCTCAGTTAAACTGACAAATTATAACACTTACCCCTGCAGCTACTGAAGTGATTTTCTGGATTGACATTTGCTTGTTAGTGTTAAACCTAACTGATATAATCTGTTATCATCATCTTCAGCTGTATCATATTAAAGGTTGATTATTTAGTACTTGTGTTTTGTTAATGGGCTTTTCATGGGGTGGTGGCATTACCTGATTGTAAGTTAGACATTTTTAATAAGGTTGGATTGAGCACAGTAAGAGAGACAGATAAAGCTACCAGCATCTCCATACAATTTGGGAGTCCCTTAAATAGGTTTTTATTAATTTTGTTTCACAAAATCCTTGTTGCGCTGTTATTCATTGAAGAACTTCTAGTATACTTTTTTCAGATACTGCACAGACAAATTAAGCATACAGACACTCACAATAGTGTGAATGTTTCTCTGCTACATCCCCCAAGCACAAAAGGCTGAGCATTTACACTAGAGTGTCTAACAACAGGGAATTCATCGCGTATTTTCCATACGTTGATGAAACAGGGGGACTTACGTTCTTACCGGTTGCTTTCCAGGGCTTTTCCAGCGAATTCTGGAAAATACATTTTCCAGAAAAATGTAAGGGGAACTTCAATGTGTGTATCTCTACAGTTACTATCTTTCTCAGTTCTTCTCCACACTCTCCTCCTCTAAAACAGCACATTTATTTAATATCAGATATTTCAAAATAATTCTGCCAGATCTTACCATGCCTTCTCTGGAAAATTATGGCCATGATGACTGCGAGAACTTGCACAGTGTCCAGCATGTTTCAGCAGCCATTTCTCAGGTCAGTGTTACAATTTCCAGGAATAAGGTGGTAAAGTCCTGGAAAGAGGTGTAGAAGCTCATAAGTTTGAAGACCTTTAAAAGCTTTCATAGGCTGTCTCACCATGGGTAATATCTGTGCAAGGACATACCAAAAGCAGTAGAGTTCAGATGAGGTATATTTTATGTGATGGTAGTAGGATGGGTTTTTGTAGTGGGGAGTATGAAGGCATAGTCATTCATCTTAGGGAGTGAATGTAGTAGTACATACATCTATTAGCAACACGCAAAGAAGAAGAGAGGAAGTTTCTAAGTTTGGCTGTGACTTGGATGATGCTGGTACCCAAGTCAGCGTTAAAGCTGGCAGTTGATTTTCTAAAGGCGTATACAAAGGCAGCTGTCCTGTCTAGAGCGACATTTTAACTGTGAAGCAACTGGGCAAAGACATAGAGAGCTTTCATGACAGTTTCCAAGCAAATTACAAAGATTTTGGAGTAACAAGGTTTCTAGAGACATAGCTGCAATACAGCCTTTTCCCATACGGTCAGAGGGACAGACACATGGAGATGGTCAACAGCGACATACTATCCAGAGTTGGTAGTGTTGAACGAGCAGAGCAACTCTCTCTCCTTCACCCACCATGTCTTTCAAGCCATGCAGGACTTTCTGCACACCTCGTTCCTACTGACTTACCAGGCTTGCACCCACTGTGCCATCAGCTGCAATGAATAAAACTGTACTTTAAAGGAAGACTCCTGAACTGAGAGGGACGCAAGAGATGGCGGCTGCTCACTTCTAGGATTCGCTGTACTTAAGGGGTTGGGAGTAGATCCTGGTAATAGATGGTGAGATGTGATTAGTGGGCACTGCAAAATGCAGAGGGCTGCAGTAAAGTTCCCACTTGCTGAAGCAGCTCTTCAGGAGCCGAAGGTAGCCTGCACCATTTCTGTGGCATAGCGGGCGGGATTTGTTGCCAAAATGTCAGCTTTGCCGCTGGAGGATGTAGGAAGCCCAGCCCAAGTTAGAGGCCTGAGTGGGTAGGTACACGCTTCACCCCACACCTACCCATGACGTACAGCCTGCCAACCCTCCCTTTTTCTCCAGCCAGACAAACCCAGTGAAGTCCTACGGAGGCAGCCCTTGCCTGTACCTTACGGCTAATGCTTCTTTGCCTTTTTGTGCCCTTGTCCTTTTCAGTATTCTAGAGGAGCGCTCACTGCAGTAACATGGGCCAGTGTCACTCTTATTACTTTACCTGTTTTATCTTTTGTGAAATTGAGCCTTTAGCCAGAATTGCCTGAGCTGCTGCTCCAGCAGTCGGTTAACTGTGAGGCTCCTTGAGCTCATTTCTCTCAAGTAATTTGATTCCCACGTGCTCACTGAGATTGCTTTTTCGCTGAAAGTGGGGAAGGGGGATGGGTGTGTGTATGGGAATAGACCAGAAATGTTACGGCAGACAAACGTAGCTTAGAGATAAGAACAACGCAAAAACGTGTTTAAAAAGATCCCATCACACTTTATCTCCCTTTAACCCAGTCCTGTAAACCAAAATGTTTTTCTGTTCGAGAATCAGAGATACAGGGCCTTTTGTGCTGGTGCAGGGTATTGAACAGGAGGCTAAATTCCATCCTGCTTCTGCATAAAGTCAATAAGGTAATCTTTTCATTAAAATTACCAGAAATGTGTGTAAAATACTAATTAGATTTTTTTTTTAATTGGTCATAAAAGGCTTCTATAGATTTCAAGATATTTTCTGAAATCATGCACAGAATTCAAGGCTTTTTCTTTTGGTTGCTGAACTATTTCCTTTACGTTGTGGTTTATTAGGAGTAATTGAACACCAGTTTTCTAGATAAGCTTCTATTTAAGATTGGTTAGTATGGCAGCGGTTTTCTAAATAACGTACAATTTATGGAGAGATTCTATAAAACTGCCAGTGCTTTATCACAGTTTTGGGCAAATACCCTGCTGCAAGGGAGTGAAAAACAAGCCTGAAAAGTGAATCTTGTTGGAGGGAGAATTGTTCTGAAAATAAACCATTCAGTGCATAAACAATGGTATATCAGTTGTCTGAAATACGTGTTTCTCCCTCTGCGTTGTGTTCATTGTATGTCCAGGCAGATCTACTACATTCACGGTACAGAATTTCTATTCCAAAGTCCTGGTTTGTTAGATAGGACATTACTAATTTAAGCAGACAGTCTGCTTAGAGGTCTGTTATTTTATATGATGAAAATGAAGCTGTGGGAAGTCCCTGCTTTGGGTTTCATTAGTGTTCATTAGTTTGTGTCATAAAACATATGCCTTGATGAATTATTAAATGTCATAAGAATATATTTTCCCAGCGGCAGTGGAAGTATCCACAGTAGGATCCAACACTTGTAGGATCTTAGCTAATTTTCCATCTTGGACCTGGAAAAAAAATTTTTTTAAAATTTAAAAATATTCTTTATTGACAAATGTGTGCAAAGGAGGCATGTGCTAAATGTCAGCACTATTCAAACATTGACTATTTTACTTGCTACTCTTGCTGGATGGTTGTCATTGATCACTTCGAAACAGTAGGCATGCTGCTGGACAAAATCCTTGCAGAGTCCAGTTGCAGGGAGTAATGTTTTGGGGATGTGACTCAAAGAGGGTAAAGAGGGTGGAGGGGTTTTGGGGGTTTTTTGGTTTGTTTTTGTCTTTAATCTAGCAGTGCACAAGTTCTGAAGAAGGGTTAAAGAAGATACGAGTTTGGAGGATGAGGTGCCAGGTCAAAAAGCTGGACACATCTTCTAATTTTTGCAGTGTCTGCATTTCAGTTTATGGTGCGAGGGGTGATGTAAAAAAGGTTACCTGTACGCAGCTGTATGCCAAACTTCATGACTGTTTCTGTCTAGCGCCATTGCTTGCTTGTACACGGTGCCTGCAGCTCCACCTCTTCAAAGACTGTTCTATTAATCTAACCTACTGAGAGCTATTCATACAGCTTATGGGTTTTTATCTTTAAATCCTCACAAAAATGATTTGCTGCCCTCAAGTTAGGATTTTAAAGGAAAATTAAATTAAGGCTGCCTAAGTAATGAAAGCATCTTTAGATTTGATAGATAGAGACCATCAAAGCAAAAAGTCTGTGTCCCTGGGAAGACTTCTGATATTGTTTAGTGCTGGGGGGAGTTGCTATTGCTAGTATGTCATGCAACATCAGGCCTTAAATTCATACACTTATGCTTCATGAATTCCTTAATTTCCAAAGTTGTTCATTATGTTTTAGGTCATAAATTAAGAGATTTCTAACTCAGACATTTCTATCCTTATAAGGTCTATGGCATTGGGGTCATAGTGTTGTATAGTTCTGCTGACAGATGGATTAAAGGAAGAAAGCCTTAAGAAAGCCCTTATGCCTTAAGAGATGTCTGAATTTTTCTTGCATGCCATGAAATGTAAGCCTAGTATTTGTTACTGTGATATATGTGTTATATTGTTGCCTGCCTAGTATGACACATGTATAGCTCTCTATTGTTTCTACTTCGCTTGAGCTGTGGAGCTTTTCTAACTGGAGTTTTAAAAAAAAAAACCAAAACAAAACAAAAAAAAAAAAAAATCACTGGCCCTATTTTCAATTTGTTTAGCTGGGCAAAAAAAGTAATTGATGTTACCTAAAACCTTTATACAAATCTGTGAAGAAGGGAGTTGACAACTGTAATCTCAAAATAGTCCAAAAAATGGGCAGGGGGGGGAACCCAGTTTTTTGTTTTCTTGTATGTATAGAAAAATATGTGCCTTTTATTTATCTCTCATTTCTTCTGTCTTTAGGTTTTCCAAATGAGCCTGCTGCTGTCATTGCCCTTAACACTATTAAGGAATGGTTAAGCAAGAATCACAATGAGGTATGGAATAAAGTATAAATTTCCCAAATTTCTGTTCAAGATCATGGTCTTTGACTCCAAAACTGTGAAAAGAGTAGACAGAGGCTTGAGCCTCCAAGTCTTTTATTATTTAGTCTTAAGACCAATGAAACCAGGTCGGGACAATATAGCCAGGGGAAGATTGTTATATTTAAAAGCTACACTGGAGTTGAAGGGAAATACCTCTGTTTGAAACCATACTGTGCATTTCCTGTGCATTGTAATCTTTCCTGGCAAAGTAAAAGACTATTCTCTTCCTAAGCTGTTTCTGAGCATCAGAGTTTTCATGCAACAATGAGGAGATTCTTGGAAGGGAAATGTATATAACAGTTGTCAGTGGAAACAGCCATCAAAGGTCAGTGGTGTTCCAGGGGTCACTTTACAGTAAAAAGCTGTATGATAGTGTATTCTATTTTCATTAATTTTTGGTTTGCTTTACAGTTAAGTGTTCATTTTCCCTGGAGCGCTCACTAAATATGTGATATAACTGTGAATTTTTAACAAGACTGGTCTTCTTCCAGTGACAACATGATGGTGATTATTTTTACAAGACAAAAAAAAATGTTTTTAACAGGAACATCTCCATATCCCCCCTTGCTAGTTTTTGTCTTTCTCTGGTTTGAGTCCTTAGCAGGCTGATAGTTCCTAGAGTTGAATTGGAGACATGCAACTAAGAAGTGACAGAACAAATAAAATAATCATAATGTCTTAAACTGAAGATATGCCAGTTTCCTCATGATGGCAGCCAGCAGATTTCGGACAGCTAGAGTTGTTCAGTATTTTTGTCTGAAAATATTTAACAAAGCATCCAGTGGAGAAGCACTGGGTACAGGGACCTAATTAGTAGTATTTTTCCTCTAGCAATATATTCACGGGGCCTTTTTGTCACGAGAATCTGATACGTGAGGGTATGAATTTAGCAGTTTTATGTGGTTTGGTTTGGTTTTTTTACCAGCTTTGAAATGAAAGGAAATACGATGTTTAGATTTGAATGGTAGGTTGAGGTTTTCAAGCCTGAAGGTACACTGAGGAGTGCATACATGTTCGGACGCTGGTTCTTTGTAGCACTGAGCACTTGGTAGCTTCCTGTGACTTAGAGATCTGAGCAGTGAAGCAGGAGTTTTGGATGGATGGCCTTTGTTAACACTATAGGGGCCTAAGTGTCATCAGCCTAGCTCTAGGCTTATATTTTTGGGAATCTAGTCTGTAAGTATGTAATTTTAACCCTTAAGTGTAGTGCTAGAACCTCTATGTTTGCATTGCTTTGCCGTCTTATAATTTCTCTTAGTTGCATTTTTACCGCATAATTTAAAAAATAGGCTAAAAAAATTTTTTGGCTCCAGAAGTAAGCTTTTCTTCCTCAAAAGCTGAGTATGTATTGTATATACACCCCTTAATTTCTTTTGTCTTAGTGGTATTACAAGAAACCTGACTCCATTTGGTAGACTGCCTATCAAAGTGTAGAAGTTTTCTCAATGAAAACTTTCTGAAGTATTTTGGTCTATGGTTCAGCCATTGCTTCTCAGCTATAAGACAACTTTCACTTTCAATACACTTTCATTCTTCCCTTTTTTCTCCTTTCTCTCCCTTCTCTGCTTCTGGCCTGGATACTCTTGTATGCCCTGCGTATCACCTTTCCCTCTTTCTTTTAAGTTAGTGTGTTGCTTCCATTTTTCTGGTTCCCTCCATAGACTTCAAGTGAGTTCCTCCCCTTGTCATCAGAAAGCTCCAGGTCTGTTTTGGAAGAAGATTTTAGGTTCATAGCAGATAGTGATTGAAGTGCCAGTGTTTGTCATGTATGTTCAGGACTCTTATCTGAGTTATAATAATTTTTTATGTATTTTGACCTGTGTTTGCAAAATGCCACTGTATTTATGGTCCACACAGATTAGCGTAGACTATGAACACTGAATATGCATGATTCCTCCTTTCTCACTCTCTGTAACAAATTCCCTTCTAATTCTTGGCCTTCTTGGCTGCCTAGCTCTAAACCTGCTGTCTTGCTCTCCACAAACTCCAATTTAATCTGAATTATTTTTAAATAAGTAGCTGTAGCTTACAAAGTTTGGACAGTGAAAGGAGCCCAGGCTGTCCTGACTACAAAACAATTGTTAAAAATTATCCTACTGAGCTTACATCACAGCTGTTTTTTGAATTTGGACTAGTATAGCTAATAGTTGTTATATTAAATGTTTCCTAACACCCTGAATCCCAAACTCACCAAGCTGATATCTCATGCTGTTTGATGCACTTGAAGACGTACATGTGATGCATTTGATGCAATTACTACATATCAGTGAATATGACAATTCAGAGCTAATGCCCAAGAGCTTTTGTTAATTTTCGAAGGAAGCGGAGTACTAGGTTTCAGTCAAGATACGTTTTGAAGGTCCAGTTATCCATAGCGTTGTACTTGTACAAAGCTTTCCCTCTTCATAAGGTTTTTCTGCAATCTGCTGGCTTGAATTTTAGACTGTGGCATACTAGCATGTTTTACATGTCATAAATAGGTCAGCAGCAAAATAAAAATACTTAACAATTGTATTGAAGGTAGCAGGAACTTCTGCAGTGAAAGGGATCTTTGAGAAGCCTACAGTTGTTGGGTTGCTGTTGTTTAACGCGTATAGCAAGGTGAGCGTAGTTCATCTGTTTTAAATGAACTGATGTAGCTCTGTGCCAGGTGTCAATCTGATCCCTTTTGTATTGTGTACGCTTATTCCCTTGGATTAGATTTTGGTCTTTGAGTAGTAATATTATACATCACCCAAACTTTTCCCAAAAGTAGCTCATCATACAGCAACAGAAATGAAAGGGACTCTCTGTGTCTCAACAGTATAGTCTCCTCTTACTGCGGATAACCATATGATATAGCCCTTTCTATAAGCTTCTGTCATAAAGATAGAGCAACTCCCGCTACACCCACTGGATATTTAAATTCACATGTTCTAGTCCGTGAGCAAAACCTCTAACGATTTGCCGCGAGGCCAGCTTTTCGGAGGGCTGCCCATGTTTCACGCCTGTTACCACTAACCAGAACCACTCCCCTGACACTGTGTATGCTGTCAAAATGAGTCAGTGTGTCCTGCTAACAGCCTCTCCTGAATGAAAGAGGCCGCCTTCACTTGGCTGTGCCAGAGTTCAATGAATCAAGGTCAGCTTCTTCCCTTCATTCCTTCATGTGCAATCTGCCTTGGGGGGGAGAAATCCTGTCCAGGTTCTGCTCCTTTAGTCCCAAAGATGCTTGGCAGCTCGTTATCCCCTTGGTAATGTTTGGTACTGGTTGTCCTAACTAAGATCTCAAACTCTTTGCACATAGAATGTGAATTGATTGAATGAATTCAAGAAGTTTTAGTGCAAGATAGAGACCAAAATGATAGCCTGCTTCACTAGGAAGTTTGCCTACATTAAAATACACTTGGCAAAAACAGATAGGTGAATAAGATGGAAACCTGACAAATTTGTAAGTCTTTCATTGTGCTCTACAGCAGCAGTGTCTTATCTGCCTTCCTGCATCCCAGGAAACTGTGACAAATTTGTGAAAGATAAGGCAATATTGTTGTTTTCTCCTCTCTACCTTCCTGTAGTACTTCTCTCCTTTGATGCTATAATGAAGATTTTTATCCACACTGACATTAATTCAAAATACAAATCAATCGGTGGCTATGTTCCTTAGCCTGGGGGCCTGAAAATAGAACCTAAATGACTCCATTCTTGCAAGGTGTGTTAGCCCTATGAAGTTCTCTGTCATAGTGTTTACAAGAAAAGTGATTTGCATTTAATAAAAGGTTTTCTTATCCAAGTCCATTGTTGTGCTTGACCCCTCAGGTGTTTGCATAAAAACTTATTAGCATGCTTAACTCTGATGTCGCTCAGATGAATGTCTCATTACCATGCAAATGGAGTTAGCTCCTTTCTGAGGTTAATTGTTACAAAGCAACACAGAGAGAGATCTATTGTAACTTACTGAACACGGAACACCAGCCAGGCAAGGCAGCAGCCATCATAGTCTAGCAGCCTAAAACTTAACTACATGAAGTCCACTAGCGAAAAACAACAGTATTGTAAGTAATGGTTTGGGCGTAGTTGTATGTAACACACAGCACTGTTCTGGTCTTGAAATGCAAGTCTTAGTCAAACTAATTTCTGGCCATGTTTTACACCAAGGTCTGCTGACTGGCAGCCAGAGGGCAAATCTAGTTTAGAAGCTGGTAAATGGTGTTATACTGTAAGCGTAGAAATCCCTTGGAGCAAACTCACAAGAATGGCCACAGTCAGCAGTACTGAGTTAATTTACTGCAGACCACCTAGGCTATCTTTTTAGCAAACTGTGTTTTCGCATTTCACAAAGTGCTCTAAAGGTTTAATAGAATTCTTCAGAGTACAAAATAGAATTGGATCCCATCCTTTAGGGAATTATACACTGGGATTCATTTAAAAATGCACATTAAGCTCTTTGAACAGTTCAGAATGTTTCTTTCAGGGATAATTTGGCAAGGTTTAAGATATTGCCACCTGATTTCCCATAACGGTATCACAAAAGAATTGTGACACCTTTAAATACTGGATCCCCTACGTTTTTGGGGGTGGTGGAGAGAGGGTCATGTTTGTTTGGGTTTTTTTTTTTGTGGCAGGTAGAACAAGCACCAGGAAAGTGTGATTGCAATGTGTGTTCCATTGGAATAACTGATTGTTGTGGTTTAACCCCAGCTGGCAACTAAGCCCCACACAGCCACTCGCTCGCTCTCCCCCAGTGGGATGGGGGAAGAAAATGTAAAAGTGAGAAAACTCGTGGGTTGAGATAAAGACAGTTTAATAGGTAAATCAAAAGCCGCACACGCAAGCAAAGCAAAACAAGGAATGCATTCACTGCTTCCCATGGGCAGGCAGGTGTTCAGCCATCTCCAGGAAAGCAGGGCTCCATTGCGTGTAACGGTGACTTGGGAAGACAAACGCCATCACTCCAAATGTCCCCCCCCTTCCTC